CGTCTTTTGAACACCTAACGAAAGTGAGGAGATTGCATCAAGCGCTGTTAAAATATGTTTCATCATTTAATAAACACGTATATCATTCATAATCCAATAAGCCAGATTTGCGAGAGTGCGTGTGTTTTCAGTAATGCTCACATCCCTGTTTACCCTTGTAAGCTTTCGATCAGAACAGGCCACATCCGAACAGCATTACTTAAACCGTTGCGAAAGCTGTCAGACCATCGAATAGCAAAGAATTAGGCCATTAGATGATTAAAAGTTATGACGAGTGCTGCCCCCTGTAATGCCGCCGTGCAGAGGAAGATTGCGTGACGCCAAAAATGCTGTGCATTACAATAATGAGATCAGGAGCCAGCGTATAACCAGCATGTTTACATTTTTCATGACAATATTCAATTTATGGGCTGCCCACACAGAGAGCAGCAAATCCGATCTAGGTAGAATGCTTGCATTTGTTCTCGTATGTACTTCCTTACTCTTCCGAAAACACCATCAGTATGACCGACCATGCTCCATAAGTGGTAATGGCTACAAGTCTCTTCATGGCATGATCATGCGGTGACATAGCAAGGCGGAGCTTCAACCCACAACGATCGTTTGTGAGAATGTAGAACGTTTTTTATTGTCTCACCTGTTTTGCGTGCCATCTCAGCGAGAAGTAAGTGAAAGGTATATGGTTTAAATGATTTATCGTACGGATCATGAATGACATCCACTTTGTCCCTCTTGAAGAAGGTGATCCGTCCATGAGTATAGAAAAGGGGAGATCATTATCAATCACATACTTAAATAAATCGTACTCTAGATGCCCTGCGAAATTTTCGATCATAAGCTTCGCGGTGGTGGCTTCATAATGAGCAGTGCCAACCCTTGCGCCGGCTCAGCAAGCATCATGAGAGGAAATTGTGAAGTTAAGGGGAGGCCTTGCTTAGCTATAGTGTACGCTGATAACGTTGCCGTTACTGTGGCATCAATCGCAATGTCTTGATTTTGACGCCGCTTCGCACCCCGGGCTTCATGGTAGAGGTTCATCGCGTCTCTGTGCTCCTTCGTCATTAAATGGTGTTGAACTGTCCGCGTAAGGGCTATGTGCCAACCCATCATGTTATATTATCTTCCTTCAATTTGCGAAGAGCTGAGTTTGGAGCAGTATTGGGACAAGGAATTATCGTCTGCCGAGTGGTGTTCCCTGTTACAAAGTTTGCAACGGAGAAAAGAGTTGTTTGGACTTGTATGATCCACCACAACCTCTAGCCAACTATGATGACTTAATGCGCTAGTTTGCTTGCTGCTAAGCCTTATGCCACCGATTATGATTCTGCCCATCTTTTGCCGAAGGTCCGGATCTTTTTTTAATCCATACTTCCTCTTCGATTCAATGATAGAGTACTCAACGGCGGCTTTGCGCAACTCTTTTTGCTCATGCAATTTTGTTTGAATCTTTTCCATTCTAGCATCTAGTGTGCACATGTTTTCTTGTATATGCTTGCTTGCTTCTAGAACCCTCTTTAGAGTGATAATGGTTTTGTTTTGTTTACGAATAAAATTCATATTGCTGCAGTATTCTTGAGCTGTGTAGCCTGACGTGTAATAGATAAGATTTCGATATTATCAGCATCCCATGACATCTAGGTGTGGTTCGCACATCTCATCGAGATCCATGGGATCACTTCGGATACATCGTCACTCCCTACATATGTATCCTCTTCACAGTCATCTCCAACTGAGAATTTTTCCAGATAGTCAACATTGTCGTCACAATGATTATCATAGCCAGGTGACTGCTTTGGAATGGAAAAGATATGTTCTATTAGAGAACAGCGAGATATGGACTCCCCATATTTGAGAACACTGAACTCCGGAGAGAGAACAAGAGCCGTGATTGGAAGAGTATAAGCAGAAAAAAA